CGTACTACACTACTACTACTACGTACGTACTACGACGTACGTACGTACGTACGTACGTACGTACGTACGTACGTACGTACGTACGTACTCGTCTACTCTCTCTCTCTCTCTCTCTCTCTCTCTCTCTCTCTCTCTCTCTCTCTCTCTCTCTCTCTCTCTCTCTCTCTCTCTCTCTCTCTCTCTCTCTCTCTCTCTCTCTCTAAGAAAAATACTTGACCGGCGCCTTGGGCGAGCTCGGCTCATCCCTTTCCCTTTTCCCTTCCTCTCGTCCAGATTTTTGGACCCGCACCATAGAGCGGGTCCAGCTCTCTTTCTCTTCTCTTCCATTCTCGCTCACTCTCTCTCTCGTCCAGAGTCTCAGACTCTCACCATGGAGAGGGCCAACTCTCTTTCCCTTCTCTTCCATTCTTTTTCACCCTCTCTCTCGTCCAAAGTTCCGGACCCGCACCATAGAGCAGGTCCAGCTCTCTTTCCCTTATCTTCCATTCTCTCTCACTCTCTCTCATCCAAAGTCCCAGACCCGTACCATAGAGCGGGTCCAACTCTCTTTCCTTCTCTTCCCTTCCTCTCTTACTCTCTCTCATCCAGAGTTCTTGACCCGCACCATAGGGCGGGTCCAGCTCTCTTTCCCTTTCTCTCTCACCCTCTTTCTCGTCCAAAGTCCCGACCCGCACCTTAGGGCTGGTCTAGCTCTCTTTCCTTTCTCTTCCCTACCTCTCTCACCCTCTCTCTCGTCCAGAGTTCCGGACTCGCACCATAGAGCGGGTCCAGCTCTCTTTTTTCTTCTCATCCATTCTCTCTCACTATCTCTCTCATCGAGAGTCTTAGACCCGCACCATAGAGCGGGCTCAGTTCTTTTCCCTTCTCTTCCATTCTCTCTCACCCTCTCTCTCGTCCAAATTTCCAAACCCGCACCATAGAGCGGGTCCAACTCTCTTTTCCTTCTCTTCCATTTTCTCTCACCCTCTCTCTTGTCCAGCGTTCTGGACCTACACCATAGAGCAGGTCTAGCACTCTTTCCCTTCTCTTCCATTCTCTCTCACTCTCTCTCTCGTCAAGAGTCCCGGACCTGCACCATAGAGTGGGTCCAACTCTCTATCCTTTCTCTTCCCTTCCTCTCTCACCCTCTCTCTCGTCGAGAGTTTCGGACTTGCATCATAGAGCGGGTCCAGCTCTTTTTCCCTTTTCTTCCATTTTCTCTTGCCCTCTCTCTCATCCAAAGTTCCGGACCAGCACCATAGAGTGGGTCTAGCTCTCTTTCCCTTCTTCTCTCACCCTCTCTCTTGTCTAGGTTTCCAGATCTGCACCATAGAGCGAGTCTAGCTCTTTTTCCCTTCTCTTCCATTATCTTTCACCCTCTCTCTCGTCTAGAGCTCCAGACCTGCACTATAAAGTGGGTCCAGCTCTCTTTAACCTGTCTTCCATTCTCTCTCACTCTCTCGTCCAGAGTTCCGGACCTGCACCATAGAGCAAGTCCAACTCTCTTTCCCTTCTCTTCCATTCTCTCTCACTATCTCTCGTCCAGAGTCTCGAACCCGCACCATAGGGTGGGTCCAGTTCTCTTTCCCTTCTCTTCCATTCTCTCTCACCCTCTCTCTCTCGTCCAGAGTTTCAGACCCGCACCATAGAGTGGGTTCAGCTCTCTTTCCCTTTTCTTCCATTCTCTCGAACTCTCTCTCTCGTCCAAAGTTCCAGACCTGCACCATATAGATGGTGCAACTCTCTTTCCCTTCTCTTCCATTCTCTCTCACTCTTTCTCTCGTCCAAAGTTCCAGACCCGCACCATAGAGTGGGTCCAGCTCTCTTTCCCTTCTCTTCCATTCTCTCTCACTCTCTCTTTCTCGTCCAGAGTCCCGAACCCGCACCATAGAGCGAGTCCAGCTCTCTTTCCCTTCTCTTCAATTCTCTTTCATGCTCTCTCTCGTCTAGAATTTCAGACCCGCACCATAGAGAGGGTCCAACTCTCTTTCCCTTCTCTTCCATTCTCTCTCACCCTCTCTTTCATCCAGAGTTCTGAACGTGCACTACAAAGCGGGTCCAGTTCTCTTTCCCTTGTCCTCAATTTTCCTGCACTCTCTTACCTCACCCAAAGCCCCGACCCGTACCATAGGTGGGTTCAATTCTCTCTCCCCAGTCTCATATTCTCTCTCACTCTCATATCTCACCTGAGGCTCGGTCCGCGCCATAGGCCGGTCCAACCCTCCATCTCTTATACTCTCATTCTCCCTCAGCCACTCTTGTCCTACTAAGCTTGGACCCACACCTAAAGCGGGGCTAGCACTTTCCTCTACATTCTACCCTCTTACCTTCTTTACACGCCTTGCGATACTCGGACTCGCACCAGAGGTGGATCCATCTTCTTCTACACCCTTTATATCATTTCTATATCACTTTAAACACTTCCTTCTCTCTTTAAATCATATTTTGACTTCTCACTCATTTTACTTTATTTTTGTTTCATTAATTCTTCATTCTCTCTCTTACTCACCACTTCTTTCACCCTTGAATACTCAATTCGGGGTCTTCCTGAGATAGTGCCCTAGGGTTTTAACTCTTGGACTGCTACTCTAACTATCAGCTTGTATAGTGTAGTTGAATCGTAAGAGATATTGATTCTCTTGCACTCAATCACTCAGGTTGGGGTCATCCTGAGCTAGCTTCTCTTAGAGTTCTAACCCTTACACTACTCTAACAATCGGGTCATACAGTGTTCGAGCTGTGAAATATTTTTCATCTCTTTTGCTCTCACTCTCCTCTTCCCTCATTGGATCACTTTTAGGGGGCTCTTTGGGTTAATGACATAGTTATAGACTTAGTTATGTAACTCCACTTTCCAAATCCTCCGGATACCAAGGTTTTGAGCTTGGTAATTTCCCTTGTCTCCAGTAACACCTCTTAGGAGAGCTTACGCTGGGAGGCTGCCTGATTCTTGTGTCATCCTCTTTCACTTCTTCCATCTCATCTTTTTTTTTTGCTCTCTAAACTAAACTCTCCATCAATTCACTCTTATTCTTCTCTTTCTTCTCTGTCTTTTCTTTTCTTCTCTATTACTCTAACCCCTATGCTAAATTTCCCAATTTACCATATAATTACCAATAGTAGGAGATCCCAAATAGGTATACCCTGAAGACCATTTTTAGTGAGTGGATCCTAGTGAAGACCATTTTTAGTGAGTGGATCCGAGTATTGTGCAGCAAAGAGAGAAAGTCATATTCAAACTGCGCTGCAAGGACAGCCGGAGGGCTTTTGAAATGATTTAAGAGGGTGAATATCCTAGATGCATCTCCAGAACCCAAACGACGAGATAGGCGCTCGAGCCCTTCTTTGTCGTTTAAAATCTCTCTCTTTGTTGGCTCATATCCGCACTACACGCACACACACACACACACACATGCACACATACGTGCATGGGCCGCGCAATTGTTCGAGAGAGGATTCCTCTGACTGCATCACCTATATCGAGCTAACCCAAGATGACAAAAAACCAGGCCTGACCAATAAGCTATAGGAAATGAAGCATTACCAAAAGGATGAGGTTTCTATACGGCCTAGTCTTTATAAAAACAAAATAAAGCCTCACCTCAAATCCTCATCCGAGTAGTAATTTTGGCAACATAAATCTTTATGATGGCTCTAAAATCAATTTTCAACAATGATAATAAAATTTGAAACTCAAAAAATGGTATAAATCTTGTAGATCTGCGAACCTTATTTTTTAAGCAAAATGGACGGTATAGATAATTTGTTACAATATATACTATTTTCATAGCATGAAACGAGGATTTACTTTCTTTCTTTTTTTTATAGGGCTGCAGCCCTATCAAATCATTTTCCTTACCAAAATATTTAAAGAAGTTAGTCGAGTGGCCAAAACACCCGCACCTCACTTCAACTGTCTATCTCCCTCCAATTTCCACATCTCATATTCAGATAGATAAGTCCAAGTTTCTTTTGCAAACCCTAATCACCCATCCAAAGCTTAAAGTCCAAGTTTGGTTTGTTTAAGGCCTTATTACCAATAAAAAAATAACCAACCAAAGCTTAGAGTCCAAGACCTTTTTTCCAATAAAAAAGTAACATATGCAATAACTAATACATATAGGAACACCTTTCCAATCTCACATAATTCACTTGCACAGGACTCTGGTTTATTGGAAAGCATCAAAGCAAGCCCAAGACGTCAAAATTGACCAAATCCTCTTATCAAACAATTATTATTCAACCATTCAATTCAACGGAGACAGCATTTGCAGCGACCGCTTCTAAATTTTGTGGAAAGTCATAGTTTTGGTATTGGAGACTTTATCATGGCTTAAACATCTACTTTCAACCCTATAAAAAATTTAAAATTTTAAAAATAATTTCAATTGAATAGATCTATAAATTTTTGAAAATCTTGAAAATAAACAATCTAGATAACTAATTGTAAAATACACTATTTTTAATATTTAAAATTCATATGGATATATATAGAGTTCGAGATAATCAATCGGAAGATTTTTCAACTTGGAACCTTCTTTTCTACTAGTTTTGAAGCACACCTTACCGCTATAATATGAGGATGCAATCTTGTATAAAATGTTTCCTTATATGAATTTGTATACAAGAGAGTGAGAGGGAGAGGAGCACATATATACCCAGAACTGTCCATTCCCAATTATGGATGGTTGAGATGAACCATCCATCCAATGTGCCATCACAAACTCTGGTTGATTTTAGTCCTCCATAAAGCAGGCAAAACCTTATTTGAGGATACTTTTTAGGGCTCGTAATTTTGGGATGAAAGATTGAACAGAGATCTCTTTCATGCCTGTGTTTTCAAAAAATGATTGCTCTGTATCTGATTTCATGTCCATGGCTGTCTCTCTTCTCACTGCTACTTGTCCTCTCTCAGAACCCTGCAATGGCGATTGAATTTGACTTCAATGGCTTCAATGACGGCGACATACCCATAATCGGGGCGGCAAAACTCGATGGTAGAACCATCCACCTTACTGGAGCGGATTCCACCAGATCCATTGGCCGTGCCTACTTTCCCACTCCTCTTACCATCAAATTCCAAAATTCCACTAACATGTCATCCTTCTCCACCAGCTTCATCTTCTCCATCCTCAGTCGAACCCCTGAAACCACCCGAAACCGCGGCCTTTCGTTTTTCCTATCGCCCCCTATTGAAGGACATGTCCCCAATCTCGTGAGCCTCATCGATGTCGAGTTTGGCACCAATTTTTACCAAGAATTTGGCAGAAACCATGTTTATGTCCGACCTCCTCCTCCTCTCCCCATTGTTAACAACCCTGCAGGATATTGGAGCTCGACTACCAGTTTCGAGTCTCTAGACATACGTTCTGGTCAAAATATCCAGGTTTGGATCGATTTCGATGGCCCCAATCTCACCATCAATGTTACAATTGCGCCTGCCGGCACAGCCCGTCCAGTCCGTCCACTACTCTCATACCGCAATGACAAACTTCAGGAATCCCTCACTGCAGAGGTGTTTGTAGGATTCTCGGGGTGGAGGTGGAAGCGCAATGAGTGGCAACGGGTCCTCGCCTGGAGCCTCAGCACCGATGGCCCGGCTCCTCCCCTCAACACCTCGAACCTCCCCGTCCTCTCTGTGGAAGAGTCCTCTTCTTCTAAATCCGTAGCTTTTATAGCTGGAATCTCAGCAACTTGCGTTTTGGTGTTTCTCTCTTTGGTGATCGGAATCATCTATAAGGTGTTTTTCAAGAAGGGGAGTTCAGCAGTGGAGGAGTTGGAGGAGTGGGAAAGCGAGTATTGGCCACACAGGATCCCCTTAGAGGTCCTGCACAAAGCCACCAAGGGGTTCTCGAAGGAGGGCTTACTGGGTTCTGGTGGGTTCGGGAAAGTATACAGAGGGACCCTTCCCGATTCGAACTTGGAGGTTGCGGTGAAGTGCGTGTCGCGAACATCTAAGCAAGGGATACGAGAATTTTTAGCAGAGATATGGAGCATGGGGCGGTTACAGCACCGGAGCCTGGTACAATTGAGGGGATGGTGCCGGCAAGACGATCAGCTCATGCTCGTCTATGACTTCATGCCCAATGGCAGCCTTGACAAACGCATATTCGACTCCCCTCGAAATCTCATGAATTGGGAAGATCGACTGCGAGTGGTCACCGATGTGGCGGAGGGACTCCTATACCTGCATGAGGGATGGGAGCAACAGGTGCTTCACCGTGACGTGAAATCGAGCAACGTGCTGCTCGATGCTGATATGAGAGGGCGGATAGGGGACTTCGGTCTCGCGCGGCTCTACCAGCACGGCCAGACCACACAGGCCACACGCATCGTGGGCACCATGGGGTACCTCTCGCCGGAGCTAGGACGCACCATGGCACCCACCACCGCGAGTGATGTGTATAGCTTTGGGGTTGTAGCTTTGGAAGTGGCGAGTGGGAGGAGGCCCGTAGATTTTACGACTGATCAGGTGCTAGTGGATTGGGTCCGCGAGCTCTACTACGAAGGTCGACTTCTCGACGCGGCGGATAGCCGTATCGCCGGCGAATATAGGGAGGCAGAGATGGAGGTGGTGCTTAAAGTGGGCTTGGCATGCTCTCATCCGAACCCGAAGAGGCGACCATCGATCCGGCAGGCACTGCGCGTACTACTTTGCATGAACCTTGATGAGTGCCATTGAAGAGGGCTCAATCCCTTGGTACTCCTATAGAAAAGTTTACATACACTACTTTACTACGGGCCGCCCATCATCTAATCCCCACGAGGAATGGTGGAGATTAATTGTATTAGCATAGCCAAGGATTTTAAAAAGCCCCGCACAACATGCAGCCTTTTACTCGGTAGTATTTTCATATTCGATTTTTTCAGATGTAACCTCTTTGATCTAGAAACTAACCTTTTAAAAGAAGTTCATGGCATTTTGTACATGCTGAAAATAAAGTATCACATTTGAATTGGTATGTCGGTGATATTGTGATTTTTGAGTGTTGGAGAATTCGATATCCATTTATTTTTGTTTGTGAATATTCATCTGACGATTTTTCATTAGATCCCAACACCATAGTTACCCGAGGAGCACGAGCTGGAGCGGGAATGGCTCCGGTTCTGGGAGTGAGAGCATCGGATCGACGGCTGCCCAAACTCGAGAACTTGGGGAGCGAGTTCCGTTGAGGGTAAACTAGCCGATCGAGATCCCGTATGAATAGGGAGTACGTTCTCAATATATCGGGATTTAGATCTTTATTTAACAGGTACGCGTTCCATGTCAAATGGGATCATGTTCCCATATTCATTACGATCGCGCTCCCATCGACAACAGGATCGTGCTCCATTTAATAATGATCGCGTTCCTATTTGGAAAGGGTCGGGCTCCAGTCGAGGAAGGATCATGTTCCGTGCATGATTAGTGAGCGCTCCCATCACAGAACTCCACTTGTATGAAAATTTGACTTAAAATATAATTTATTTTATTTTAAAAGTTTATTTTATTTAAGAAGTTTCTTTTAGTAAGTTCCGAGAACGTAGGGATCGCGATCCCAAACTTCTGGAAGCGGAGATCGAATTTATTCAAGAACGAGATTTACAATTTTAAGAAACGTGTTCCGTACGATAGTGGGATCAAAAACATTTGTGCTTGAGATCGATAATCCTATAAATAGGAGCTAGCTCCCTAAAAACTTAAAACCAGTTCCAGTTAAGATCCGGGTCATGAAACGTCATAGCTGAGTTCTGCAACGGCAGCGCCATCCTAGTTGGGTGCTCCCGATAACTATGATTCCAACATTTGAGATTGAAAAAAATCCTCCCAAGTAGCTCTTTGCTCGAGAGGGTAAGGGTATAGTATTGGTCCTACCGGAGCTATAGCTCGAAAGGATTTGTGTATCCTAGAATTTCATCTTCGGTTCTTCACCTTCCAATTAGCCCGTTTGCCAATCTGGATCAGGAATCCAGATTGTGACTCACTGATACTTCTAATCCAATTAGTTTATGTAAATAAGATGTAACATTTTGATGTCGGGCTTCATATGGCTTGGATGGCGATAACATGTGGTACTCTACCAAGGGTTTGGGGTTTGATCCTTTGAAAGATCAAGGTTTGAACCTGGAGCAATGTTCCTTTTTTAAAAAAACGTTTATTTTTAAAAAAAGTTTATTTTTAACGTCATAATAAATAAATAAATCAATAAAGAGGACCTTGCGCGCTCGTATTTTAAAGACCTAATCTTTAGAACCATTTTGAACATTTAAAAAAAGGTGCGGTTTGTATAGAGCTAAGGCTCGAAATAATCAAATTAGAGCCCAGCTTCAAATAGTATCAAGAAATATAGTTTCAATACTGGAAAGTTTTGTGATAGCCTTAAATTATATTTTCATCTTTAATTACAAAATTTAAAGCTTCAAAAATAGTGTAGATCGGAGCAAATCGCTGAAAACTTGAAAATCTTGAAAATTGACAGCCCAAAAATGCGTTACAAGATGTACTGTTTTCAAATTTTGAAATCCATTTTTTTTCATGTCCATACATCTTGATGTCAAGATGATCACTTTAATGATATTTGAGCATCAAAACAACCTCTTCTAGTGAAAGTTTTGATAATTTGATTGTTTAGAGCCTATGCTCTATATAAACTTTTCTCTTTAAAAAATGGCGTGATTTTTATAGAGCCTAGGCTCTAAACGATCAAATTAGAGCCTACCTTCAAATAGTGTTGAGAAATGTGGTTACAATACTGGAAATCTTTATGATAGCGTTAAAATATATTTGCATCTTTATTTATAGGGATTGTATACAATGAGACCATTTACCTTTTGTATAGAGAGGTCACAATTACTTACAACCATCCGATGTGAAATATGATAGCTTGGGTGTGTCACAAAGTTCGAAAAAACTTCTTTTGAACTTTGAGCTTAGTCAATGAAATGATTGGAGCCACCCAATTTGACATTTAATGGTCAAATATTAATTGTGACCACCTTGTATCAAAGGTAAACAGTCTCATTATATACTTTACCTTATTTATAAAGTTTAAAGCTTCAAAAATAATGTAAATTGACAAATCTATGAAAACTGGAAAATTTTGAAAGTTGACGGTCCAAAAATGTATTACAAAATATACTATTTTCAAAACTTGAAATCCACTTTTTTTTCTCATGTCCATGCATCTTGATGTCAAAATGATCAATTTGAAGATATTTGGGTATCAAAACAACCTCTTCTAGTGAAATTTTTTATATAGGCTCTAATTTGATTGCTTAGAGCCTCGGCTTTATATAAACATTTTCCTACAAAAAAAAGGAAAATAATTTGATAGGGCTGCATCCCTATCAAAAGAAGTAAATCCTCACTTCATAACTCATTAAAAACTACAAGTCAAGCATGGAAAAACCTTTACATCAATCATATCGACCTGAACATTAAGTTTGTGAGAGAAAAAAAAAAAAGGGACTTCACGCTCTAAAAATATGTATATTGTAACAAATTATCTAGGCTGTCCATTTTGTTTAAAAAATAAGTGTTCACAAATCTGTAAGATCTGTACCATTTTTTTACTCGTAAAATTATTGTTAGTGTTGAAAATTGATTTTAGAGCCATCATAGAGATTTCCATCACCGAAAATACTCTCCATACAAGGATTTGAAGCGAGGCTTTATTTTATTTTCATAAAGGCCCTATAGAAACCTCATCCCAAAAAAAGCCACATCTTGTGCTTCTTAAGCAAAAGGTCTAGCAAACCTAGCAATTCAGGAACTTTCATACAATTTAGAAACCTCATCCAAAAAAAATAAAAGCCAGATCTTGTGCTTCTTAAGCAAAAGGTCTAACAAACCTAGCAATTCAGGTATTTCCATATTATTACTTAGATCAAGATTGGTTGGTGGATAATCCACCCCATCGATCTGTCTTTTATACCACTGGGTTTAAAAAAGAAAATATGCTCATCAAAATGGGCAGGCCAGGTTCATTTGTAGAGGGGAATTTGTTTTTAAGAGTTTTGCCACAAACGATTCATAGAAAGGCCCATCTAAATGAAAATCAAATAATTGATACAGATTTCATGTATGCCATGCGGCCCCTTACAAGAGTACGTGCTTTTTAAGGAACATTAACTTATTCCAAAGTTAGTTATATAGTCTATAGATCACACTTAGATGCTTTCATGTACACCCTAGGCTCCCAAATTTTAAGAAAAAAAAAACGCAGTTAGTTTTATAGTGTTGATTTCTAAAACCTGATAGGTTCTTCCATGTGATCATGAAATTCTTGTATCACATGTGGGATCTATAGATCACACTTAGATGCCTTCATGCCTTCATGTACACCCTAGGTTATATATATATATATATAACTCTAAAACTTAATCAAAATTTTCACTAGGCAAAAGATTATTAAAATTTCCCAAGACCTATAAAAATTAAAATAGGGGTTTATAGAATGGGGATTTAGAGGGGACCGAAAAAACATTAAATAAGCTAGTCGTGGGAGGCAAGGCACACAGGGGATAGG